TCTTTTAGAATCGAAGCATGTTCCTTAATTTGCTGATAGAAGTTTAGTAAACATATGCAGGGCAAAAGAAGCTGCGGTAATTCTCCTAGCAGAATCAGGCAAAAGCTTCAAGCAATGTAAAAACTGGCTTTAACAAACTGAATAGTAGGAAGCAAAGAATAGCTGAAGTCAGGAAGTGCATTGTAGGCATGGAACAGGGGTTGATAGTGTTTAATAGCTTTGGCTGAAACAGAAGGCTGTAGCAAGTTATTAGCATCCTTAGAGGGTCAAAACAAATTTCCTTTACTTCTCTCCTAGTTGCAAGTGAACATGGCTGTATTTTCGTTAGCTTGGCAAATAACTCAGCGTGATTACACAGCACACCCTGACAGCTCTGGAGGAGCAAACTGCACGCTGAATGTGCAATCTACTGATCAGGACCTGTGCCTAACCTAAGCGTGCCTTTATGTAGATAAAACAGAGTTCTTCACAGATCTACATGCATGTGATGCTTTGGCAAAAGTGACTCAGAACAATACCCTAAAAAAGGTATCTTGTCCTTGCAAGCCAGTTAGATTCATTTTCAGAAACTGAAGTGTCTTTCTTCCCTGGGATCGTATTTCTGGCCACTTCCCCTTCTCCTGTCAGTCCTATTTTTACTTTACTTGGTTCGGTTGGACTCCTGTTATCAGTCTGACGCCACTCACAGTCACTGAGTGCTACTGAACTAAAAACCAGAGGAAGGGAGTAGGAGGGACTGAGGGGTGAGTGATCCAAGGGATGTAAATGTAGCCCGCAGCAAGGCAAAATGCATCCAGTCACCTATTCCTCCTGCTGCCTGTGGAGGGCTGATCCCTATGAGTTAAAAACAGGATCTTTCATGGGAGTGGTTCAGTGCAGGAAGAATCTGGGTGATATCTCAGTTCCTGCAGCGCAAGGACTGATCTGCAGTGCCTGAAGAGTGAAATAAATAGAGTGTTTCCCAGCCAGGGGATCCGTATGTGATCACTTAGGAGTGGAGAAGCAGAAGAGCCCAGATTACCTCAACTCCTTGCTTACCCTTATTTAGAGTGCAGACTGGTTTAGACAGCACCACAGAGGTTTGCGTTCCAGTTGTAGCTGGACTCTCTTGACATATACATAATTGCATAACGTTCTTATGGCTTTCAGGTAGAGAACAGCTTCATTTTAACACTGTATTCAGCTGAGAGATTTCAGAGTTGCCAGGCTGTTTTTCTGTCTCTTCTCTCTCAAGTTCAGTTTGGTATCTCTGTTATTTTGAGTGGAGCAATGTGGAACACGGGACTTCAGGAATAATGAAACGGGAAAGATATGCTAGTGAGACATCAGCTGTGGTTCCTGTAGCACCATCTTTTCAGCTTCTGTGCATTGGTGGAAGCATTCTGAGAACTGTTAAGATTACTCCAAGAAAGTAACCTCTTGACAATTGTTGGTGGCATGAATACACCACTGTTACCATCTCACAGACAGATTGATTCCTGAGTACTTTTAGGACAACTGTGTATGACTTGAGCTGGGAAATCCTGGCCAAAGATATATCACAAATATTCTAATATTAGCATCATCTCCTGGAAGGATGACAGGGCTGTCCATCTGGAAATGTTATACGGCATGATTATTCTGTCAGCTCCCCAGGATTGACTCCATGGACATCTTGGAGCGCACAACAGAATAAAAACATCAGTTACTGAGAATCACGATTACAGAAATTTCACTATTTGATTTGAAAACCAAGGAGTGTACTGGCTTCCATTTTTCAGTAAAATATTGATTATAATGAATTATTTTGACAGGAATCAAATTACAGGCCAGTTTTACAGTTTATTTTAAAAGTTCTGGGAAATTCACGTTAAGCTATGGATACTTTTTGCATGCCAAAAGTATTCTTTGCGGATAAAAATAGGTCCTACTTAGCTAAATCAAAGATGTAACTCTGAAAAGGCTGATGTAGCTCCATGCAAACTTTCTTTCCTGGTGAGATTTAATATTACTCTTATTGGCCAGTTGAAAAAACATAAGATAGACTCCACCACAACTGAACTGAATAAGATTTCAGGCATGACCCTGAGTAGCCCTCAGTGTGTGGAACTGCTGTATGATGTCTATGCGCACAAACTGGCTCTGCCAAGGATCACAGCATCGACTGTTGGGAAGCATGCAATAAATTGCGAGAAGTTTTAGAGCAAGAAAGCTATGCTCAACCGTGTAGTCCTTGTGTAGTCGCATTTTCTGAGAAGCAACTTTTTTTTTCTGTAATCACCTTGGGTTTTGCCATCATCTGCATTTTTTTATTGTCTGATTTCAAGGCAAACCTTGATAAGAAGCCAACACCCATTCACTCTGAAAATGAGCTGACATGGGATGTGGGCTACAGTGGCAAGTTTGCTTTTGAATAGCTGCAGAAACAGATACTCTAAGTACACTTGCTTGTGTATTCCAAAAAGAAAATATATTTGCTCCGTAAACTCAGGCATACATTTTTCTAATGTGTACCCAGTTGAATGCAATTGATTTCAGTGAACAATATGCAGATCTTGAAATCCTCTTTTTTGGGGAGGGCAGGAATAGATATAAGACAATTAGATGACATCATCACTAGATGTTATTGACTTCTCCATGTATACATCTACAACTTTTTCTTCTTTCTTTCGTGATGCAGTCCTAAAATCCCGTGATTGGTACGAGGACATCTGATTGTGTCACTTGGTAAAAAGATCACAGTACATCCAGGAAAGTTCCTTGCTCTGTCTTACTAGACTGCAGCTAACTTAATGATGGATTCATGTAATTATTTTATGGCCGCTGTATTTCATAAAGCTATTTTTTTTGTCAATTGTGTAGTCCCTAAGCATGAACTTTTATGCGTAATAAGCCCACAATGAAAAGAGAGAGCATATTGTTGCCTGTGATGCCTCTCCCAGAATTAAAGTTATTTCTACCAGAGCTTCAGTCTGAAATTACAGAGCCCAAATAATTTCCAGCTTCCTGTCTTCATTCAGCAGTGAAAGTAGTGTACTTTCAATGCTGTCTTTAGACACTGATTTCAAGGAAACGATTTTCTAAGATTTGTACCAAAAATTCATGCACGTGACCTGCAGAAGGAGAGGTTATTTCATACCCGTAGAACTATTGCAGAAGAGAACCATGATTCAAAGTCTCTTTTGATTTCCTCTTTTTGTAGCTATTATTTAAAATTACGCTGTCCAGTTTCAGAAAGTTCAGACAGACTTTTGGCTCTGCATACCTTTACGGACAGGTGCGCAGCGCTGAGGTGTGTTCGTTGGGTACTCTGCCAATGCCAAGTCTGCCATTGGTTGTTGTGGAAACAGAATTTCAACCTAAATGCTACCATTAGGTGTGATAGTGATGATGATGATGAATTCCCATCCCAAAGAATCATAGATCACTTTCAGATCACTAGAGCCTAGTTCAGAGTAGCAGATAAAGAGGTTTATAGTTTGTGTTATGTGATACTTAGAAGTATCTCCCTTAAGAGACTGATGTTTAGGCCCAGTAATATGTTGAATTAAGCCAGCTTAATGTTAGACATTCAAGATATTTGATGTCACAGCTCATTCAGAAGTTTCTTGCCAAGAATTTTCAAGCCCTGGAAGTAAATTGTGCCAAGACTGTGCCATTTTGCTTTGGAATTAAATTTTTTGTTTAAGAAACTGGAAAGTCTAGTGGTTTTGTAGTATTTTTCCCTTTGATGGTAATTTCTGTTTAGAGGTGAAGACTCAACAGTGAGTTATTTCCAGTTTTTATGTATATTTTAGATTAGAAGAAGTGATTGTGGCCCTTTTCCTAAAGTATAAGCAATACTTCCACAGAGTGTATGTATGTTCACCTCCTTCCAGCATGCCTAGGTACTGTTGCCTGAGTTTCTGCGGCTGCTAGCCCGTGTCATACTTAGCCTGCTCCTGGAAATCTTCCCATACGGCAGCAGCATCATCTCACTTTGGGATCCAGTTCCAGGAATGCAATTTTGTTTATTAGTCATTTATTTGCCATTTAGTTTCTTGCAATGGAATAGTGTTGTGATGTTCCTTTTCCTGTTGAATGCAGTACCTGTACAATTGGTCATGCTGAATAAATTAAATATCCTGTATTGTGGGTTATATCAAACACATGTTTGTGTGACATGGAGCTGAACTATCATTGCAATTCTGTGAATTTTCTAATAGAAATGTTATGACAGTTAAGCTTCCTGAATAGCTCAGTGTTTCAACAGAGAGTGGTCAAATATGTGTGTTGGAGTGCACTGCTTCCTTAGGTGACTTTTTGAACAATTTGTGATTAACAGAAAACTGTGAAATATGTGGAAGAATGTGTTCCTTATAAATATGAATACATTAGCCTGGCCATGTCTTTCGTGAACAGAGTGTTATCACATAAACAGGACAGGCTAGAACAAAATGGCTTTAATATGAAGAGCCTCCTACGTTTAGTAAGATGGAAGAGCTCTCTAACCCTTTCAGACTAAGGATGAACTCCACTGATACAGATGCAAATCCATCATTTTATTTTTTGGACTATTAACAACCGTCTGTGCCTGTTTCAAAGAATATATTTAAATAGCTGGCCTCACCATTTATTCATGGTCAAAATTAAGCAATGCTATACAAGGAAAGATGGGATAATTCAGACAACTGAAACACATTTTATTGATGCATGTTTGAGGTGTGTAAAAGTCAAAGTAGTGACTGCGTTTATTCTACTTGTAAAGATGTGAAACAGCCAAGTCAGGCAATGAAAGCATGATGGTTCTGTTCACCTGATTCATCCCTTGAGTAGACTTCAAGGGCACTCCATACTGTTAGAGCTGTAGGAGATGAGGAAAATGTGTTGTGGACCATTCATCTCCATCTAGAAGTTAGATGTCTAATTTTGAGCTGGTCATTGAGGCTCTCTGATAGTCACTGGAAAAAGATAATCCCTGAAATGATTACTGGCTAAAATGATTTGTTAAAATGACTTGTTGTGGGCAGCCATTGCTCTCCATGAAGGGGGTTTCTGGAATCCACCCTGGATGCAAACATCTGACTGACCTGACTTTGTGTTCTGTGTTGCAGATTGATTTTGAAGATGTGATTGCTGAGCCAGAGGGAACGCACAGCTTTGATGGGATTTGGAAGGCCAGTTTTACCACCTTCACTGTAACGAAATACTGGTTTTATCGTTTGCTGTCAGCTCTCTTTGGCATTCCTATGGCTCTCATCTGGGGCATCTACTTTGCCATTTTGTCATTCCTGCACATCTGGGCAGTGGTGCCGTGCATAAGGAGCTACCTGATTGAGATCCAGTGCATTAGCCGCGTCTATTCGATCTGCATCCACACGTTCTGCGACCCACTGTTTGAGGCCGTGGGCAAAATGTTCAGCAGCATCCGAGCCACAGTACAGAAAGAGATTTGAGGGACACTTCGAGGAGAGCCGTCAGCCTAGGAAGGGGGTGGGGGGTTGTGTTGTTTGGAGTATTTTGGTGCCAGTTTCGTGTTTCCCAAAGCAACATACAGCAACTGGTGGTGGACATACTTGCCCAAAACAAAACAAAGTGTCACTTGCTCAGTATCTTATTCTACTGTTTGTTCTTACTGGACTACTTGCCTTTTTTTTAACTCTGCTCCCTCCCTCCCCCCCCCCCCGTTAAATGGCTCTTCTTCCATGCCAGCTGCATATCATTTTGCTGGCTGTTCGATTCAGAGACTGAAGTGTTGTTGGATCCCTTTTTATCTCACCCTTCATTTCTTGTGAGATAAATCCACAGTGACACTGAAGAACGACAAAAATGCGTCCCAACACTATAAAGCCACGCATTTTATTGTGGCCAGTGAGCACGGGGCTATTGCAGCAGAATGAACGTGACCAGCTGGCAGGTTGTAGCAGAATGTTCTTTTTCAATCCGACTGTCAGTTGACTGCAGCTATTTACAGTCATGGTCAGATATGGTGCACTATGAATAAATTAGTTAAGTAAACAAATTACTGAACTAATATATGTCCCAAAAATCTTAACACTTTATCAGGTTGGAGACATTGACATGTGAAAGCTTTTCAAGTGCATAAAAAGCTTCGGTCGGTACCTTTCTGTCTCATTCTCTCTTGGAAGTTTGCATCCAGTCGTTTCTCAGCCTTTGCTAGGATTGCAGAAGCAAACTGCGGCTGACAGCTAAAACTGGTCATTATGGGAATGTTTTCCTGACTGTGACTTAGGACACATCCCTTAGCGAGCATTTAGGTGCTTATCTTTTAGGCTTCTTTTTTTCTGCAAAGTATTCTTATACTGAGTTACAAGAAAAATGAAGGTGTGCCACACAGAAGCCACATGAGGCCAACGAGGAGCTGCCCCTGAGAGAAACTTTTTCTGTCAGCTTTGACAGCTTCCCTAGCAGCAGAAGCCAGCATGCCACTAGCACGTGGATCATTTTCAGTAGAACTGATGCTTTGCTGAGTCTGAACTAATCCGTCACAGGAGATGGTTTATAAACTTCGCGTTTGTGGGTGGGTTCATTCGTTTTTAGCTGAGCCGCAACGTCAGGGAGTCTTAAGCAGAGGGTGTCGTGTGAGACTACCGTGCTGCGAAGTGCCAGGCCTCGAAAGCGACGCCTGTGCAGCACGTTCTGATGCTGTGACCTGCAGGGGCTTTTTGCCCTCGTGGCAGCGCTGTGTTCCGAGGCGCTCTCTGCATCCTCGTCCGTTTGCGTGAAGCATTTGTACAAATCGTTGTGAGGCTAATCAGCTTGCTTGAGAACCGACCTGGGGCCGGAGCCTGCCCCAGCTGGGGTCTCCAGCAAACCAGTTCTTGACCTCGGAGAGTCCAAGATTTGGCCCTTGGGCTGAGCATGGAGCTGTCTGGTACACCTGCACCATTTTTTATTTAGCGCTGATATTTCACATACTGCTTTACCTAACACGGGAGTGCCTTCAGTTCAATTTCTGCCAAAGCATTGAAAACTTTAGGAAAAAGATGAATTTTTTTAATGGGGATGGGGAGGGGAGGGGAGAGGGGAGAGGGTGCTCAGAAAATTACAAAGCTATTAACTGCTAATGTTTGCATTTAAAACAGACACTGGTATGGATATAGTTTTATGTTTTTCTATGTACATAATGAAGAGTGTACTATTATAGATTTTTTCCAGTATTAAAAACAAGCAAGATTATAAACATGAAATATTTTATCTTTTTATGAGGAAAATCACTCTGAAGAAAACCTTCTTGATTTACCATATAAACTGTATATCCTGAAAGATGTCTGTTCACTTAGAGTTATTAGTCCCTAATCCAAATACATTGCTGAACAAAGACATTTACATTGTTGTTATACGCTTACAGATATAACTGACACTTTTTTTTAATTCTGCATGTACATTAAAGACTACAATAAAAAGACGTTTAATGGTAGCTCCTGCCTCACTTCTTTTTCCTTGAAAGCCATGTGAACAAATCTCATGATATTAGGAGGAAAAGCGCAGTATTTCTTGATAAAGAAACAGAAAGAGATGCCATTTGTTTCTCAGGAAAGAACGTGCAAAAGCGTCTCAATTTGTGGTTCAGGATCTGACTCAGGAAGGTTCTTCCCAACAAAGAAAAATCACCTTTTTTTCCTCAAGTAAATATTTTCTGCCACTAAATAAGTAGGCAGTAGGAGTAGTGAATAGAGCATTGAAAAGGGAACCTCAGCTTGTTTAAGTGCTTGGAGTTCCTCGGTTTCCCTACCTTTCAAATTAGGATAATGATGTTTACTTGTAGACAATTTTAATATTCAATAAACAGAATGATATCACAATATAATGAGTTGTTTATAGTTCATTTTACATAAAAGACTTTGGCCATCCAAAAATTCAGTCCTGGGTTGTCCTGATGATAGCTCTTCAGTTAAAATTGTTTAAAACTTTCTTTTTCAGTCCAGTGGAAACAGGATTGTTCCTAATTAAAGCTCATTAGCCTAAACATTTAATGTATGGACGTAGGGGCATGACAGCTTTTATTCAACCGTGTATAGATCTAACTTGTCACAGGACAGTTCTTTTCTGTGGGGTTACTGCACAATACATGTCACACCATTAAACTAGTACACAAAAGTCCAGCAAAACAGCCTATTACATTTTGGCCTACAAATCTGCTAACCATATTTTAATTTTCAAATGGCAGATACCAGCTTAAGGTATTTCATATGTTTTCAAGAGCAGAATGGCATATTTAGTGGTAGTTAATAGTCCAACGGTAGCAAATAGTACATTGAATTGGATGATGTGGGAAAATATAAAATATTTTAAAAGGTAAAAGGGAGGTTGTAATGTGAAACTAAAGCAAATGAGCCTTCCGGTGTTCAAAACCATCTTTCTCTTGCATTTTGGTAGATTCAGGACAGACACATTTATTCATCTTCACCGTTTATAGTGTCACATCTCTGAGACTGTTCATGGGAGAGATGTGCAGATTCCCCCTACGACCGCACTGTCCCGGGCGCTTTGCTGAGCAGTGGTCACAGGGCTGTGCTGTGGGTGAATCTCATACCTGTGCTCCTGCCAGGTCCTCAACGCAGTAACACTCGTGATCAATACCACAGTCACGATACACCGCACAGCAAGATCCAGGTTTGTCTACAAGGGGACTAGACGTTAGCTGTTAGACAGTGGCATCAGGCAATCTCCTATCATGGCTGTGAGTGTGGTGTGAACAGTCTTACACTACTAGATGTGAGAGTCAGCATCGTAAGCTGCCTCAGGACCTGTGGGTTCAGGTGGGCTCAACACCACTTCTTCCTCCTACCAGAAAACTTTCTTGGCTGTCGTTGGTCAGTCTTCTAATTCTCTGGGTCACCAGTTCTTCAATTGTACCATGTAGCTTCAACTGTTTTCCTCTGAATACCCTGAGACAATGTATGTGGTAGCTAGACCCTCCAGTTAAAGCCAGCTGGAGCACCCAAGTTTTGAGGAATGAGAGGCTGTGAACTGCTTGGTTGTGTGGTTGATCCCTCTGAATTTGATTGTTTAAGAGCAAACTAAATACAGACTATTTTTTTGAAATATGTTTATTTGAATGAAGTTACAACAAGAGATAATGACAAATCATAGGCTTTTATTCGTGATATTTCCATAGCTGCACCCAAGCTACCTTTTGACCCTCTCTCAGGTTAAACTAGAACAGTTCTCTGCTCACTTGTTTGCTTTCACTGCCGTGTGCGTCTGCAGCATCCTCCTCCTTTTTTCCCTGATCTCCTGAGGAGAAGGAGAGAGGCACAGAATAAAAGTCTTTGCTGAGCTAGAACACCTGTATTATCTTCATTTATGTCTTAAAAACCTTGATTTTCTCAGTTCATGCTGTCTGACACTGGGAGACTGTGTGATACAGGTTATGTTATTTCTATCTCACTTTCTTCTGTAGAGCTTCTAATTAAAATTTCAACTGTATGGTACAACTAGCACATCCTGCCTGCAAGATGCTTTTCTCCATCACGGCCTTCTGGAGGCACAGTGGTAAAATGTTGTACATGTGATAACTAGGACAATATATAAATGCACAGTATTCTCACTAGATTTGTGACTGCTTTTACTAAGGATGGCAACAGTGGGAAGAGAGTGATTAGACTCCATATATGCCTGTGTCCTCGCTCATAGTCAAGGCACATTTTAGTGTTGATTCAATACACAATCCACAAAATGCCCTAAACTCAATGCCAGTAGGCAATCTGCTTTTGTTGAGATAACCTGAATTTACATAACCCTGCAGACACCCAGATTTGCTTGGCACATGATTGTCAGTAAAACTCACTGTGAGGGTGCCCAGGTCCCACTTACGCACTGCTGGGACGTACAATTGAGATGTTCCTCTGGCTGCCACCTTCTGCAGGAACTGGAGGTCATCTAGGGATCTAGGGATCGCTAACAAGAGCTAGGAAATGATGCCTCCCTGAGTCCTGTGGTAGAGCATCTCACTCCTTGAGATAGAGGGGACTGAAGCTCGTCTCACTGCACTCCCAGGTGTACACTTAAGCTACTTACTGCTCAGTGTGCTGACTACTATGGATACAATTTTTATAAGCCCAGTTCTCCTTATTGCTGTGCAGGAGCTTACCATAGACCCCTAATGTGGCATGATGACTTCCAGGAGGTGCCAGGCTGCCTTAAAGGCACTACCTGAGCTTTGTGACACCATTATTCGCCTGAAGTCTTCAGAACCAAGATTTTCTCTTCCATCAAGCAGCCCTCAGTGCAGAGGGGAATAAAGGCATTACGGTCTCTAGTTCTAGCACTTCTAGAGATACTTCTGTTTTCCGTCTTGAGAGACTAGGGACCGAGGCGGAAGGTTGTTCTGTTTTCTGCAGACTGACAGCAGGTCTCAGGGCTTGTTTTGGCACCCAGGGATTAACTTAAATCTAAGGCTGTCATAGCTGTGACCTTCTCAGTTGATCAC